TGAAGGTCATCTTGAAAATTGATGTCATATTTCAGAAGAAAAGCAACTGAACTTTTTCGTGAACTTTATAAAAAGATGCATTAATGTCGACTCGAGATAGTGTTGAAAAATTGAGTTATTTCTCTTTTTTTCTTGTTTTGAAGTTATTCAAAAACTTCTCAAGTCCATATAACTTTGAAATGAACATTAGTCTGTTTTCTTTATTTGTTCTGCTGACTATGTTATTCTATATGTGCAATTGGTGGTCTTATGTGATTAGTATCGAGTGGCGCAGAATGAGTGACACCTCAATATCTTGAGAATATCTCTTTCAGTTTTCATTGTTGAGATCTGGGTTTTTTCAGAGATTCGTCTTTTAATGCTTTAGAAAACCATTTTTTTTTATTAACGTAAAAAACAAGGATTCTTTTTTGACAGATGATACAATCGAGCAATTCAAAATGAGCATCTTTCAAAGATAATTTCGGGTCGAATATGTGTGACAGACCTTTTGAGTTCTTCAATCAACTTCTTCTTTGATGTCACTTTGTGCCACTGGATAGCATAAATAAGCTCATCCTATATCGAATAATCGAGAGGGTTTAGATCGAAACTATTTGACGGCCAGTAATCTTTATCAATGAATGATGCAAAATTGTGCCAATGAACTAAGCTTTATCTGACAGATTCGTCGTTTGATGCTCTAGTAGAACGGTGTTTGATTTTAAAGCCACTTATATCCTTCATTTTTAATATTGTGAAAAGCAAGGATATTCAGAAAATTGTTTCTTCAATGTTCGAAAAAGGTGAACATCCAACCAATATGTTTCATGACTTGAACGATACTGCAAAATGAACCGTGACACTGGATCTATACAACTTTCGAATCCACCGGGATATCTACGTATTGTTCGAACAAAGAGAGCAATCGAGAAGGTCCAACACGTATTCCAGCGAAAGAAACCAATATCAACTTGAAAAACAACGAGTGAATTGAGTATTTCGAGAACAAGTATGCAGTGAATACTCAAAGATGATATGAATCTTCTACCCTGCAAAAAAATATCCGAACCTAGTACCCACTGACGAGCACAAAGGCAAACGAAAAAAGTTTGTTAACTGGGTCGGAACAAATTTTCGAAAGAAAAAGACGATGAAAATTTTCTTTTTCTATAAGAAAATATTCGACATTGACGGCGTTTATAAGATCCATAGCGCTCCAGTGTAGGCAGTGGATTGTGCTGCAGTAGACGAGAAAAGTGCCATGATGCAGACACGAAAATGTCCCCAAAATATTATGGTTTTCTTAGAGATGGGCTCCAAAGAAGTCTTATCATTAATTATCTTTGAAGACGGTTCAAAAAACCATGTTCGATGTACACAGAAGGTGCTTCCTGTGGTAGTGAAACATGGCAACAAGATCTGCGGAAACTATTGGTTCTCTCATCAAGATGTTGCAAAAGCACATATTCACCATTTCACGCATGAATGACGTCGGGACAATGTTGCATCATTCATTGATCAAGATCATTGGCCATCAAATAGTCTCGACTTAAACTCTCCGGATTATTCGATATAGGATGAGCTTATTCATGCTATCTAGTGAGACAAAGTAGCATCAAAGAAGACGTTGGTTGAAGAACTCAAAAAATCTGTCAGAAGCATTCGACCCCAAATTGTTTTTGAAAGCTGCTGTTTTAGATCGCTCGAATCTATCATCTGTCAAAAAAGAATCTTTGTTTGTTATGTTCTACTTTTATTATACTTGTTTTAAGGGCAAATCATGGGTTCGAATATGTAGAACATAAACGTTTGTTTATTTCTTAAACTTAAAGAATCACCACCGGTACATAATATCGCATGCATATATATATATATATATCATCAAAGAAGAAGAAAGAAAAGAGAATAGATGAACAATACATATATATATAGATGTCAGGACATAACATTGTTTTTTACGTTAATAAAAGAACATCGTTTTGTAGAGCATTAAAAGACGAATCTTTAAACAACCCAAATTTCAACAATGAAAACTGAAAGAGATATTCCCAAAATCCTGAGGTACCATTTGCTCTGGGCCATCCATTAGTATACTTAATATAACTCCTTCGTTTATATTGTATCGAGTGTTCTTTAATACTCGTAACCACGGTGATTATTATCTTTTTATGCATATGAAAATAAATAAAATATAAATTTCTATTCCATATTCTATGGAAAATTAATCATACATGTTATGATCAACACTTACACAGGCAAAGCAAAGCCTCTATTTGCATCGATATATGATAGAAAACTGAAAACTATTATAGGCAGGCTTATCCGATCGATAGAATTTGAGCTATTCGACTCAATCTTATGATCATAGACAAAAAAATATACAATCAGTTTGGAAACCACTCACAAAACCTTTGAAAGAATTATGGATGACTCATCAATCCAAGAAAAACAATTTCCAGTATCTCTTTTTCTAACTTATTCAACATACTCGTTGTGATTGTTTTTTCTCGATAGCTTAGATATGCTCGCTTGTATTTCTATGTGTACAAACTGTACACTCTTTGTAAATGTATGCATTATTTTTCACTCATTCAATTTATGTCGAAAGAAGAATTCCGAAAATAAAATTGTAGAAAGTAAAAATGTCGAAAAGTTACAATTTCAAAAAAGAAAAAATACCGAAAGTAAAATTATCGAAACATATCTTGTTTTGATATTTTCATTGTTTGAAATTCATGTGGGATATGGAAATATGAAAGCTCCATAACTGACACGAAAATGATCCTATAAGCCCATTGGTGTGATATAATGGCCTCGTAATCATTCTCGTTAATTGATTACATCACTCATTTTATCCTTAATTGGAACACGAGTTTTCAGAATGAGGATGAGGATGATCATTCATTCTCACCTCACCCTCGACTTCAAACCGATACGAACAATATTTACACAAAACCGCATCAACATTTTGTGTAGTCAATATAATGATGGCGTAATCAGTTCATCAAATCATCTTTCCAGCTTTTCATGTATTGTTGAAGTGAAAAATAGTTGTGGAACATTTGCACCATTCAAGTTACTTTGTTCATTAAAATTGCTCTGTATTTCATCTTTACTCATAGTAGTAAAGAAACATTTTTTCCTTATCCATACAAGTTCTATAAATACAATAAATATACCGAATCCTTTATCATTAACTAAATAGTAATTTACATCGTTTCGACGTTTCAATAAGTCGGTACTTTTATCTTTTGATCCTTTTACACTTCAGCTTATTTATCTTTGGCCATTATTTTTGGCATTTCTATCTCCAAGATTTTAAGTTTTCCAGTTTTGACTCTCTTTATATTGAGTTGGCAAGAAAGTTTTTGCGGTTTTTTCAAAATTTTCTTTTTATCTTTTAACTTAAAGAATACAACTAGCTTTCAGCAATGTATGCTCCATTACTATCTATGACTTGTCACCAACGCTCTGGTAGCGAAAGGATCCCACGCTCGTAGAAGTCCTGGGACTTTTGGCCGAAGAAGTTGGCGAGGTCCATTTTGAGTTCATTTTCGTCGTCGAATTTTTTCTTGCGCAAATGGTTAGAGAGAGAACGGAACAAATGGTAGTCCGTAGGAGCCAAGTCTGGAGAATAAGGTGGATGTGGAACCGTAACCCATCCGAGCTCCAATAATATTTCACGCGTCCATTTTGCAATGTGGGGTCTGGCATTGTCATGCAAAAAATAAATTCTGTCCCGCTTCCCTTGGAGTTTTGCTGCAACTTGGTCTAATTCCTGGCAATAGAGATCAGCAGTGTTGGTGCAATCAGTTGGAAGAAGTTCCCAATGAATAATCCCTCTTATTCCCCACCAGATGCTCACCATAATCTTCTTTGGGTGAAGGTCATCTTTGGGTGTTACTACACCTGTTTGTCCAGCTCCCAGCCACTGCCGCTTGCGCGTGTGGTTAACATACAACACCCACTTTTCATCGTCGGTAATAGGATTGTCGAGCCATTGGTAGTTGCGATGAGACGTCATTAATTCCATACAAGCGTCAACTCTGTGTTGGAGTTGATGTGGTGACAAATCATGTGGTATCCAAACTCCATATTTCCACGTTTTGCCTAATTCGCTCAGATATGTTTCCAATGTAGTATGAGAGCACTCAAGACGCTCTGCTAAACACCGTGTAGTCAATCTAGGATCTTCTTCGATAAGCTGCTTTAAGACATTCATATCCACCTCTAATGGTCTTCCAGAACGAGGTAAATCGTCGAGTTCGAAGTTACCGTTCTTGAACCGATTGAACCAATGTTGCGCTATACGAATGGAGAGCGCATCCTTGCTCATCGTGCTGCATATATTGCTTGTTACTTCCGTTACTTTGTGACCCAAACAGGAATTCATGAAGCAGAAGCACTCGGAGCTCTCTACGAGATATCTTCATTTCTAATTCAAGATCAGCGTCCATATCCATAGTTTTGTTGTGGTTCGAAAGATATTCGTACCCCCTTTATATACCCTTAGTATGAAAACCAAGGGGGAAACGGCGGACTTGAAGTAGAAAAGTACCTGAAAATACACAATTAACTTCAAGTTACTTCAAGTTACTTCAAGTAGTTCCAAGTACATTAAAAGTATCGCAAAGTAGCTTCAAGTACCTTTAAAATACAGTCAAGTACCTTTAAAGTATCATGAAGTACCTTCAAAGTACCATCAAGTACCTTCAAAACTGCCATCAAGTACTTTCAAAAGTATCGTCAAGTACTTTCAAGTACACTTAAGTACACTCAAGTAACTCCAAGTACACTCAAGTACCTTCAAGTACACTCAAGTACTTCCAAAGTTCCTTAAAAGTAGTTTCAAGTACCGATAAGTATATTAGAGTAGATGAATAGTCTTTCAAAATCTAAAAGCTTATCGAACGAAAAGCAATGTAGACGAACGAATACGAAAAAATTCTTCCATTTATTTATAAAGCATAGAAAGTATCAATAAAAAACACAAAACTCAAGAATTATATGAACTAATATTATGTTTGTTGCATGATCCGAGATAAACGATCACTTGATAATCCTATCGATTTGTTGGACAATAGCCAACAAGCTGATTGTTTGTGAAGATATTTAATTTTATCATTTATTTTAATTTTAAAATACGAATTTTTCAGCATAGAATTAATATTATCAACAATTTTTATTCCTTCAAAAATTGATCTTGTTGAATTTAATATCTCTTCTTCATCGTTATAATCGTCGTTTTCAAAATTCAATAACTCACCATGAGGATCATCTTCACCATCTCCGTCATCATCTGATTCTAATTCTTCATTGTTATCAGTTGTTGTTCGGGACGAATAGCCAAACATTTTTGAACTCTTTCTTAAGCTGTCAAATACAAATTCACTGAAGGTTTCTAAATCGCTTATGTAATTTTTTTTAATACTTGTAAAAGTTTTGAGTGATGTACCAAATCAATGACTTGGTTATGCGTCTGATATAACTTGTTCAAGATTTAACGTATTAATTTCATCTAAGCAATCTATAGAGATGAAGGAATTATCATGTTTGTGCTTGTAGTGTGTTCGAAAAGATAAATCATTTTTCGACTGATTCTATTTAATTTGATTCAATAGAGATAATTTTTTGTGCGTGTCAAATGAAATTGCTAACAGTAAAGTTGACTATGATGGAGAAAGAAGCACATAACGATCTTGCATTTCTGAAGATCGATTCACATGGTTAAGAATCGAACAAATGTGTTTTAATCAGTACTGGTTTAGGCAAATACTGCTGTTTTACCAAAAGCACCAAATAAGGCAGGTTATGAGCATTTAGTTCAATCAACAAATATGCAGGTTTTGAAATCATGCATTTATTTACGTCACTGGCCTTTTAAGTTATTGCTTTATTTCTTGATGAACTGGAAAATGAATTCATTTTTAAACATAGTCACCATATGCGACAAACGAACACGACACACCACGCTAATTGTACATCTAAATGTATAGAAGTGAACTCGAGATTAATAAATTTAGATGTATAAGTTTTAAAGATCGAAAATAAACTTACTTTCACGAACGGATGTTGATTTATCAATATAAGCTTTCACTATCATTTTAAATAAAGTTAAGTATACAAAAGTTCCATTCGTATCCACACCATTAATCAAAAGGTTTATCACATCATCTGATATTAGTTTAATGCAGAAGTTGTAGTTCTGGCGATCTTTTGGATTAATGTCGCTGCTTGTGAGGTCATGATCTAGTTTTGTATAATGACCGTTACTGATCAATGCTTCTATATGAGTTATAGTGATTTTGTCTATTCCAAAACGTAAATCAGTTGTTGGTGACAATAATCAATTCCTCCATTTTGTTAGAAGATGGACTGGATCTTGAAAAAACAAGAATAACTGTTTATTTCGAAGGAAAAACCATCTCCAATGTGTTGGTATATTAATTTTAAATGCATGCTGATGCTTATCTAACTGTAAATCGGATAGTGATGCAAAAAACCGCTTGCAAGACGCATAGCACTTACATATCTTCTGTCAGCATCTATTTACAAATTAAAACAGCATTTTAGTTAGCATAATCATCTTAAAATTCACCTGTAGAAAATCCAATGATACAGACATTTTGTTCCAAACAATGTTGAAAAATATACATCCATCTATTTAACACATTTATTACAGTAATCTTATTGTCAACACCGTACGCTGATAATAAAAATTGTCTTGGAATACGTGTTGCATTATCTTCAGTTGGTATACTTTGAAATATGTGTACATTTAACAATGGTGCTGTTTCATTTGTTTCATAAGCTGTTTTCAATTCATTAAACGTATCAGCTTGATAGAATTTTGGTAATGGAATTCCATGATCGATTGGAGTTGCAAACCAGACGAAAGAATTTGTTTTTGAGTCATTCAACTTCACGAATGGTCCCTGTGGTGTCTTCAGAACAAAAACCAAACTGTGAATGGCATTGCTGAAGAGATCCAAAGTTAAAATCTGCTTCACTAAATGCAATGTCTGAGTTTTTAATTAATTCACCAAGTGTTGATAAATTAGGAATAGAACCATAAAGATTTAAACGAATAAATTCATAGGTTTGTTTGCCACCGAGAACATATAAGCATATGGCAAAATTATTAATTGATTCATTATGTCTAAAATTATTCGGAGATTGTGTACAGTTGTTTATTAAATTGTCTATAAATTATACTAAAAATCGATTTGTTTGCTTAACATCATTCAAATTATTTAATCGATACCATTTTATCAATGACTTTAATAACGGATGATTAAGAATCATTTACTTAGGACGTTGTTCGATAAATTTCACCTTTTAATGCTTTACTCACCCATCTTGAAAATCGAATTTCAATGCATTCATTCCGTCGATTGACACTCAGTTGTAAAATGTCCTTAAGAAGCCCCTGGTGTTATTCAACGTAGCAGCTTTTTCAATTAAATAAAAGCATCAGAACAAAAAGAAATAGGATATATACGAAGTTTTGAATAATCTTTTTTTATTCATCCGATTTGTGGTCGTATCAACGAAATATTATCAAAGGTAGTCATAGATCAATATACCAAATTCTACCGCTTCAGACAATTAGAATATATTAATGAAAAAAATCATCGAATTACACGAGTTTGTATGTGATTTGAACTCGATTCGATTGAAAGTTAATGTGAGCGAAGTGTGGAATCCATTGTATGAAGCACAGACGGTAACAAATGCAAAAAACATGCAATAATCTAATCATAAAGTTAGGAATAAAAGCAAGAAGAGGGTCAGCGGTTTTAAAGTCCTGCAAAACGTTAAGAACCTGAAAAGCTACACGTCCTTCTGTCAGATTGTATCAGGGCAGGTTATGAGAACCATAAGCTAGAGAGAGGCCGAAGTACTAAGATTTTCAAAAAACAACATCTAGGTTGCGATATTCTTGAATCACTTAATTCTCTAAAGAACCACAACACTAGCGAATATTCGCTAGACTGGAAGGATAGGGTCTAGAAATCGTAACTCACCTGTGTCTGTTTCTCCGTCTGTTTTTCTGTCTGTCTGTAATCAGCGCTTGGCACAAATGACCATTATTATGGCACAAACGACCACTTTTAGGGCATAAATGACCCTTCCTATGGCAAAAATGACAATTTCTATGGCACAAATGATCATTTTTATGGTACAAATGACGATTTCTATGGCAAAAAGGACAGTTTCTATGGCGCAAACGACTATTTCTATGGCACAGTCAACCAGTTCTATGGCACAAACAGCCATTTTTATGGCACAAATGACCATTCCTATGGCATAAATGATCATTTTTGTGTACTCAAAAAGTGAGTACACTCTAGAATTGGTCAGTGTGTCCGCCCGTCCATCTCTTTACACGATAAATTTTGAAAGGAGAGTTCGATCGCTATAAAATTTTCTACACAGTTTTTTCTCAACAATATCTCGGTCGAGTTCGAAGATGAGAAGGATGGGCCGAGCTGTTCCTGAGTTATTCCAAAAGTACTCATTTTTCCCGTGGCTTCCTATGCGAAAATCGGCCTATCCCAGCTTTCGTAAAAAACTTTCGCTATCATAGTCAAATAAAACTCCAACTATTATACACCATTCGATACAGAATCTCAAGAGCTACAAAATGGTATATAAAACCTGAAGAAACAAGAAAGTAAACTCAACTATTGCAACGATAAATAAACGAAAATTGATTCTGTTTTTGTCCAAGCTCCGATTGATCCACAATTAGAGCTCTATCTTCTGATCACAGAGGTGATACTTTGAGGTATTCTGGGACGGAGAACTCGAATCTGTACTTTACTTGCCTCGAAACCCAACTGGTTGTGCACTGACCAATAGAAATCAAGTGATAAGAAAAACGACTTTCAGAGGGTAAATTAAGGCGAAGAGTTCAAATCGGAGCTGTATTCACCTAGAAATTTTATTCGTTGAGCAGTAGCCAATAGAATTCAAGTGTTTATAGAAAAGGTTTGCCTGACGAATTTTTGTATCCACACGTTCTCGAATGACTGATTTATCTCATTCACTTTTTTAAGTACACATAACTCTTGGATTTAAATCCGAGGTTTCTACATTTATTTTATCTGATTTTTCTTCAATAAATTGTTTGGAAATACATTCTTAAATCATTTATTTCAGCTTTTTTCTTAACTCAAGAATTTTTCAATGCTATACTGTTTTTTTTTTATCAAAAATATGAAGAATTAGAATGCTAGCATTTAAAAATAATGATTAGATTTATATTACAAAAACTTGGATTAACTCGAAATACGTTCAATTAACTTCAAGTAACTTCAAGTAACTTCAAGTAACTTCAAGTAGCTACAAGTAGCTCAAAGTACTACTGAAGTAGTCTAAAGTACCGCTCAAGTAGCCTAAAGTATCGCTCAAGTAGCCTAAAGTACCGCTCAAGTAGCTCAAAGTAGCATTGAAACACTCAAAAATTAACTTGAAGTAAATCAAAGTATCATTCAAGTACCACTCAAGTAGCTCAAAGTATCGTTGAAGTTACTTCAAGTAACTTCAAGTCGAAAAGTCCGCCGTTTCCCCCTTGATGAAAACTTCTAGAACTTTCTTGACTGTTCTAGGAAATTTAAAAAACACGCAAAAACTTTTTTTACCAACTCAATATTTTTATAATTCGGCATCTTTTCCATTACTTATTCGACATTTTTCTTTTCGGCCAAAGTAGGATTTATCCAATATCTCAAGCACAAATATAACAGACTATGAAAAGACATTCTAACCTTTGGTAAAAGAAAAACTAGCTCTTTCAGACTGGGCTCCCAGTTACCGTCACGACCGCGCCTGTAACCTTCGTCATTTTGGGGATTCCTACAACTACCATCAGTATCATTCGGAAAAATCCTTACCTCCTGCATCTCTCCAAAAATCTTAGTATCAAGATTAATCATATGCACAATATTCCAAGGATCAAAGTTGATTCTCAAACCACCCTTCTTCTTATAATAACATTTAACACATGTCCTCCTTCAAACCACAGTCTTCTCTCACAATATTCATAAATTTCATCACATAGTACGACATTCTTTATGGATAACTTAGATCCGAATTTCCGACTCATTCTATTTGACATTGTAAATGAATAGTACCAAAAAGAGTATGTGCATTTCTCCCACTCAATCCTATACGAACCGCTTACATTAATAGCATAAATCACGTAACTATGAAACATGAATACTGCCAATCAAGACCTCTTACATTTATTTACCTACTTTTTAACTATAAGTATCGTTCTAATACTGAAAACAAACAATCTATAGCAAATGAATAGTGCGCGCCAAGGTTTTCTTCTCCTATACTCATC